GGATGTATTGGAGCATGTCCAGAGAAAGGCCATGATGAATACTAAAGTGTTGGAGTATCTAGCATACGAGAGGGAGGAGGACTGTATGTGATGTTTTTTACTCCATGACTTTGTAAAGATAATTTCATGTTTTCAGCTTTCTTAATTTTTTTTCCTCTTCTAAAAATTACTGACATTGACAACTATCAAGAATTGAGGCAATGTTTTCTCAGTTCCAAGGTATTTGTCCTGTACGTTAGAAGCAATTGTTACTGTGTAACAGTCATTGTTTGCTTCTGGAATCCTGCTAGAACCTGTGCCTGCTTAATCCTATTTAATATCTGTAAAGTAATACTTTTAAAATCTTGAGCATGCTATTAAGGAAAAGCCTATTATTCATTTGATAAGCTGGTGTCACTTTAATGTGTTTTAGCATGGCCCAAAGCAAGATCGTACCTGTTGGGGTGATGGTGGGAGAAGTGTAGGTTCCTTTTTTAGGATGGGTAGCTGTATTCTAGAAGGTACTAATAGAAAACAATGTGAGGTCATTGCAACTAACTAGTCTACTTAACTATATTAGCTGCTTATGTTGCACAGTTCTTGGACACGTAAGCGAAGGAATAATTGATAAAGTGGTAGTATTTTAAAAGGAATAGTACTGGAAAACTTTTTCCAGTTTGACTGTCCATATTTGAAAAATTAAATATGGTAGTTTCCCTGAACTCTTGCAATAATCTTGAAATAAGTTTTATAACATTTTTGGATTATGAGGCAGGTTTAAAAAATTCCATCTGATACTGATACAGAATAAAAAGTTAAGAGGTGATATCACTACAGTTTCTCAATGCATATGAGGTGATTTCTGACAATAGGGCTCACCTTAATCTTGAATCAATGGCAGAAAAATGTTCAATAGTTGTAACTGCAGTTACATATAATTGTGTAAGAAATAAGGCATGGGCTATTATAGTGGGAATAACAAGCTCCTGTGCTGTGTCATCGAGGAATAAGATGAATACTGTGTCACCAGAAGGACGGTTTCATCTAGGAATCAGGTGAATACTGTGTCACCAGAAGGTCTTAAATTGAAATTGGACATTTTTGTAGAATTATGCTGTAGCTTGGCTGACCTCAAAAGCTGGTTCATGTGAAGGAACTGTTGTGAAGTCAAGTGATAGAGCAGTATAGAAAGCATGGTGTTCTGACTCACCTTGAAGTTATGGATTTGTGGGATGAAATTTGATGTGTTGATTATGATACATTGATAATTTATTGTTATTGAGTTTTGGCCTGTATATCTACTGATTTTGAGTGTTTCCACAGGAGAATCTACATATCAAGAGAAATATTAATCTGCAATCCACTATTTCAGTTTTGAATGTACATTTTTCTCATTGAGACCGTAGTCTTTGTTTTCAACACTACTCCAGCCCATGTGTTTTTTCTTTTTATTGGGGAAGAAATATGACAAGATGTTGTGAGGGTTAACAGATTATATAGATACTCTTTTTATAATTTCCTATACTGTGGCTGGTTAGAGCTCAAGTGGTTTGATACAGTTCATACAGAAACTTCATTCTAATTGTTTGTACTTTTTGTGGATTATATACAGTTAGCTGTAATTGGGGGTAAGCTTTTGCTGTCAGATACACTTTGTGTGTGAATGTATCAAGCTTTATATAACCCAATGTAGTCTCTATTTTCTCCAAAAGTTATGCTAATAGACCAATCCAGTAACATGTACTGCAGTATAAAATCTAAGCCAAAGTGTGTATCACATTACTTTAAGGAAGTCCTCTGTGGTTTTTTCCCCCTCCTATCTTAGTACGAGATAAATTTCATGACTATGCTTATTGCAGCAAATTGGAATTGAAAATAAGTTTATGTTCTGATTTTTTCTTCTTGTTGTTTTTAATCATATAGGGTTGCAAATGCAAAACTTAACAATTTTTCTCGTCTGGAGCCTACACTTCACCTCCTTGGTGTACAGTTTAATGAGAATGTGGCCCAAGACATAATGACAGGACAGCATGGGGCTGCAACAAAGCTTTTATATGAATTGTATATTGCTTTAGGAAAAAAGAGAAAGGCAAAGCTTACTGGAGTAGCCATGGAAGCAATGAGACCTGCAGCAACTGCAAAGCTTAAGTCTATTGAAAGTGCTTTGTATCGAGAGGTAAATAACTATGCCTATTTTGTATACATACATAAAAGAAAAAAGGTAACATACTTACATGTACATCTTGAGCAAGTTGTATGCTTCCCCTCCCCACTTTTTAAATCTCTTATTTAAAATCCAATACTTCTATGGAAAAGAAGCAGTCCTGTGCTATGTTTTATAAATAGACAATGGGATTATATTGTTTATCGATGATTCATGAGGATAATGATCATCTGTGTTTCGTGTTCTTTTGTCTTGGCTCATTCTGTGGTACCTCTTCTGTTTTTCTCCAGACTTAAAAATGTGTGGAAGCAAAGGCTTGTAGTTGTTCAGCAGCTGCCTTTTTACTCATTTGATCAGTACAGATTGCAGACTGCATTGCAGTCTAGATATCAACTTTTAGACTAATTTCCCCTCCAGGAAACATATTTATAACTGTGTTGAGCTTTGTGCCACAGTGGTTTGATTCCTCCTGTTGCATGTCTCTCCATGTATTTGTACTACACTCCAGGCTGCAATAACCATATGCTGAATAATGTAAAAACTAAGGGGAAAGAGAGTATCTAAGAGGAAGTCAGTATCAATGTAGTAAATTCTGTTAAGGATGTTCTTCTTATCTTCAACAGTAATGTTCAGCATGTGCAGACCATAATTTGTTATCAGGATGAACAATCTTTAAGAAGCTATATATTGTGAATCGAATTCAGCTGGGTGAAATTTCCCATTTTTTTCTGGCATACTTCCTGAAAAATAGAATACAAGCAGAAAGTTTACCAACAAGTGCAAGGATAGTACCAAACAATTGAAAAATCCCTTCACCTATATCTGGATAGCTTAAAGATAGAGCAGCTGAGAGCAGCTCCTGTCAATAGATAGGGTCAGAATGACATTCAAATCATAGAAGGGGCCTCCGAAGGTCACTTAATATATGCTCCTGCTCTCAGCAAAGTCAACTAGGTTTGGTTACTCAGGAGCTCGGGTTTTGGATGACTTCACAACCTGTCTGGGCAAATTCTTTATCACCCTTTCAGTAATTCTTTTTTTTTTTTTTTTTCTTATGTTTGAGTTGAATTTCCTGTATTTCAGTTTGAATAGAATAGACTATTTCAGTTGGAAGGGACCTTCAATGATCATTTAGTCCACCTGCCTGACCACTTCAGGGCTGACCAAAAGTTAAAGCATGTTCCTAAGGGCATTGCCCAAATGTCTCTGAAACACTGACAGGCTTGGGGCATCGACCACCTCTCTAGGAAGCCTGTTCCAGTGATTGACCACCCTCTTGGTAGAGAAATCTTTCCTAGTATTAAGTTTGAACCTCCCCTGACACAACTTTGAGCTGTTCCTACATGTCTTATCACTGGATCACAGGGAGAAGAGCTCAGCACCTCCCTCTCTACTTCCTCTCCTCAGGAAGCTGCAGAGAGCCATGAGGTCACCCTTCAGCCTCCTTTTCTCCAAACTAGACAAAGTTTGGTGTTGTTCAAGTTCAAATCTGCATGTTCTTTTCAATGGAGCTACTCCCAGTTTTCTGAAAAATATTCCACCATGTTTAGATGTTGTTCTGTGTGCATTCATACAGGAAAACAGAGTTTAAAATGAATATGGCAAAATTATCACATTTAAATATGTTTCTTACTGTTTCTGATTCTTTATTGCTTGTTGTTTAAATTTAGCATTTGAAAACTTTAATGCCATGTCAGGCTGATTTGCAACTACAGCAGATTTCAGAGCATTTTCAAATAAAATCTAAGGCAATAGAAGATAAAATGGCTTGTATACAGACTGCGGAACAACAGAAAGTTCAGAAGCTCCGAGAGGAACAAAGAGCCCAAGATATTGAAAAGGTGACTACTTACTTTTTATAGACTTTTGAAGAAGTATTTTCTTAAGGTCATGTGCGTAATGAGTTGGTTAAAGCCAGTGAATGCTTTTTATTTCTGTGCTATGTGGTCATGTTTATACAAAAACAAAGGAAAGGACTACGCATGGCAATCATTAATATGTAGATATAAAGCCAGTATACTGTTATAAGACCCTTAAAACCACTAGTATTTAAAAATATTTTGTCAAGCCTGGAGCCTGATAGCCTCTTCTGCTTTCTTCCTAGAAGATTTTTTTTTCCTTATGGCTTAATTACATTTACTTCATAGATATATAGGTAGTATATCAGAGCCATATGGTGTATTTTGTTTCAACTCAAGTATCTGAACACATGATATTGAATATTCAGCATTGCATAGGAAGAAGGAGACAAAATGAAATAATGGCCAGGATTCAAGCAGCCATTATACAGGTTCCAAAGCCACCACCAAACCACACCATAAAAGCTATTGAAGCCAAAACATTGTTAAAGAAGAAAAGAGAAGCAGAGGTAACTATCATGTATATTCTTTTAATCTTCATTCTATGAACTTGCAAAACATATGATGTTCTGGGAGCATTTAAACTTACAATTACTGTACTTGAACCATCCAAATTTTGCTGATATAACCACTAAAATGATACGGTAGACTCAACCAGTGAAACCATCATGATTATGATTCTGCATTTGTTAGGAAAAAATTGTTTTGATGTAAAAGGAAGTTCTTACTGAATAAATACTGTAGGTAGGTACTAATTTAATTGCTGACAGTATTTTAGCTTCTACTCTATTGAGTAGCAGATGTGAAATAAAAGCATTAGTGTTTCCTTCTCATTTGTGCATGATGAAGTTTTGCACCATAATGTATGAACTCTTCTGTAACGCTATAAAACTGTCTGCTCTATCAAAAATGTTAGTTACAGTTGAAATTGACAATAGTCTCAGATCAAATCAAGAGATGATGGCAATGTAGCAATCAAAAAAATTTCTGTATTATCTAGTGCTGAAGAGTACTTGGATTGTAATCTTGTAGTTCATGGATCATATTGTCATCAGGACTCCAAATATTACCATTTTTTTCAACTGTGCAACCAAGATGGATGCGTTTAAATGTAGAGTGTAGGGACATAGTTGCTTGAGTAACTATCGGGGATTAATTCAAGCTACTAAATCTAAAGCAGATCATAGCCCAGAATATCTTGTTTCAAATCTCTGAATGGTGGGATGCTATGTAAGATCAGAATTATCCTGCAGAATGAACAGCTGCAGAAACTTAGGATTCTGTCTGGTAGACATAGGTACAGCTAAGAAAAAGAGGGATGGAAGGAAATGAAAGGTAGAAGAAAGAAATAGTCTTGCCGTTTTTCTTAATCTAGCTGATGCTTAATATATTTTTCAGTATAAACATTCCTGTTACACTAGCATAACATAAAAATAATTCCCTAATAGTTACGATGCTTTGTGAAAAGAAAAGAAACATTAAATTTTGTGTTATTCCTTCAGGAGACATACAAGGAGATTAAAAAATTTGAGAAGTCTATGGCAGAAAATGCCTCTGCAGTACACAACCAAGTCACTGACAGGTAATATTTGGATATTAAATTGTTGAGCTTAGACAGGATCCTACATCAGGTGCCTACCATCTATGTAGACAGCTACTTGAAGAAAATGTAATGGCGTGTTTATCTTAAAATGTGATTTTCCTTTGAGTGACCGTCCCACTAGCACTGAAAATATTCCAGCTCCAGCATTGTTACAGTGTTTTACCTTACCTATAGTTGTAGTAGGGATGGCTCAAGCTTCCTTCTCTCCTTTTTGCCGTATGTGCAGCAACAAAGGGCACAAAGTGCATCTCTTCTCTGTTACTTTAAGTCATTGAGTCTGTAAGGTCAGTTAGACTTACAGAGAGAAGAGAATGGTTGTGGATGTACATACCCAATAACACATTTCAAAGAAATTATAGAGAAGTAACCTTCTCCTTAGAGTTATGTATCTGTGTGTTGATTTATTTGTGAATAATTTTAAGTAATAGCTGTTCTGTCCCCTTTAGTGTATGTATACCATACTCAGAAGAGGTGGCACTCATGCATACTGCTGTGGATACTTCTGTGTGTACACAACCTGTGATTAATAATTCTGCAAGACTGCACTCAGAATGTATGGTCTTTCTTTGATATTCTGTGAGCCATCCTAATTTCCTCTTTCTGCAGAATTTGGCTTCATATTAGCAAATGAACTAATTGACAGCTGTCTCAAGTCAGTGCTGGAGGCCTCCTCTGGACTGATGGTTGTGGGGCACGAGAGCATCAAGAAGTAGGCACAGTGCCTACAAAGAATGCTGGCCAAAATAAATCTGTTGTGCATTTGTCAGACTTGCACATAACTACACAGAGATCTGTATGAAAACACCTCCAAGAACTATAACTCATATAAAGTCAGTGATCTTTTTCTGTTTAATCTTTTCAATCAGTGATATACAAGAATCATTGCAAACACAGAAGTTGCAAGCAACAACTTTAGAAACTACACCACAGACAGCAACTGAGCTGTTGAGTATTTATTCAGATGATGAATACATAAGAAAAATTCAAAAACGTTTGGAGGAAGATACGTTTGCTAGAGAGCAACAAGAAAAGAGACGACGAAAAATGCTAATGGACCAGTTAATAGCACATGAAATACAAGAGGTGAGAAAATGTATGCTGAAGTACATAACCCATACACAATTAGTTATCTAAAAATTTGCTTATAAATATAAAAGAACAGTATTTTTGGAGGGTTCAATAAAATTGGAGGGGGAAAAGGGAGGTATATACACTTATCTTTGGAAATAACTTTTACATAACCATTGTCTGTCCTTGAAAAATATGGAAGGTGTCCTGGTTTGGCTGGGAGAGAGTTAATTTTCTTCCTAGCAGCTGGTTAGTGCTGTGTTTTGGATTTAGGATGAGAATAATGTTGATAACACACTGGTGTTTTAGTTGTCAAGCAATCAAGAACTTGTCAGCTTCTCATACTGGCCTGCCAATGAGAAGGCAGGGAGTGCCCAAGAAGCTGGGAGGGGACACAGCCAGGACAGCTGACCCAAACTGACCAAAGGCATATTCCCTACCATACGACATAGTGTTCTCTATATATCTGGGGTGTGGGCTGGGAGGCAGTGTGGCTCAGGAGCTAGCTGGGCATCAGTCGGCAAATGGTGAGCAATTGTGCTGTGCATCACTTCTTTTGTTAATTCTATTATTATTATTACCTTCCTTTTCTACCCTGTTAAACTGTATCTCAACCCACGAGTTTTACCTTTTTCTTTTTGATTCTCTCACCCATCCCACTGGGGGTTGGGGGAGTGAGTGAACGGCTGTGTGGTTGCTTTAGCTGCCAGCTGGGACTAAACCACAACAGTCCTTTTGGCGCCCAATGTGGAGCACAAAGGGTTGAGATAATGACAGATCTGACCAGAGGGTGTTAAAACAAGTATGTTGTAAGCACTCATTGTATTAGTTTAATAGTCACCAGTCACAATGTTGTATTACTTGTTCACATGATTTTGTCATGTAAGTCCTTACTTGCATTATATATTCCCTGCGGTGCTGTTTATCACCTCTGGGAGCTGGGTGATAGTTTTCATTTTAAAAGGAAAATTCTGTCAGGTTAAACCATGACAGGAGGTTGTCCATTCTTTTTCACCACCTTTATGTTAGACTTCATCCTTAAAAATCATTGAAGATCAAATGAAGGCAGCAGAGAGAAGATTATTAAAAATCAGTGGAAGACCTGCCTTCTATTCCACTCCCCACATCCCCCCTGCCCTGCCCAAGTTGAACTTTAAACTATCAAAGTGTATGCTGGTTCTGAAGAAGGTACTAATTAAAAACCAACAAAACCAGCATTCCTCCATTGAAAACCTGCAGTTACAGTTGTGTTACGTAAAAGTTTTAGCTCTGGACTGGCTGAATTCTGAAATGGTTGTGCTGGGTGATATGAAGAAGCAAAGCACTTATTTTGCAGATCAGAGCTTTGATTTTTTTGATATGTATGGAATAGAAGATGTATCTCAGGAGGATGTCTGCATTGTGTCCAAAAATGGATGTTGCAAGTTATACCATTTGAGTCTTGTCCTGTAAAGCACAAAGCTTTTCAGATTCCTCCTCAGACACTCCTCATTCAAAAAGCAGCTCTTAGATTACTGACTGCACAGATCTTCTCTTTAGTAATGGTTGTATCAAACAGAACCTTGTAACGCACTGAGTTTCTGTGATTTATAGTTATCTTTTATCTTAGTATTGCACTGTGAGTCCTTAACTTAGATCATATGTGCTGAGCCCAGTATAGCTGAGCCTGTCTCCACTGCTGTTGCATAATAATAGCACTTAGGATGTGTGTGATCTCTGAAAAGGAACCGTATGAAATTATATATATGTGTGTGTATATATATGCACATATACACATACATATATATTTTTAAGCATTGGCAGGTAATGTCTGGAGATGTTTTTGGTGTTATTAAGAAAAAAATGAATTTGTTGGTGTAGACATCTAGAGATTAGATGACTTCTCAATATCTATCCCAGACCTATATTCTATGAAAAACTAAGAACACCTGTAGCTTCTTAGATCGAGAGTCCATCTATCCATGTAACTTGTCTCTGAGCTCTCACTCAAGGAGATTCTGTGTAATGTTCCTGTTGATATGCATAGACCATGAAGAAGTTTTGCAAACCAGTTGTCTGATATCACTGTAGTACCAAAACTTGCTCTTAACCTGCTATCAGCTGTTGCAGCCCCAGCATAACCCCAGCAACCTGGACTAGTGGTTCCAGTACCCATGGCTATCAGCTAATGGCCTTTTGGCCAGCAGCAATCACTGGGGCATAGGGTGGATACAGCAGCTGTAAGCCAGCCAGTGCTGTTGAGGAGATCAGGCAGCCAGTCCACCTGCAGTTGTAGTAAGAGACTTGCTGGTTTGAAGATGGAGGAATTATTGCGATGTACTGCAAATCACACTGGCTCTAAAGTGAGGCAAAAGTAACAACACTGTTCCTAACTTCCCAGGAAGAAAGATCAGCATTGATACAGGAACAACAGAATTCACAGGCTGCAGGAATTAGAAGGAAAGACAAGTTAGCAGTTGACTGGAACAGTAGTCTCACCAGATCAGAGAATATACTTAGTGCTAATTTGGTTCTAAATTAGCAGGGGAGAGGTGACTGGTTGGAGCTCCATGAGATTTCAGAAATTAGATGTTCCTTGACTTAGAGAAGTGCGAAGCAAATTGAGATATTTTCTTTTGAAAAAAGAAATTAGAAATCACATTAGAAATTGAACTGAAAAGGATTTTCAGACTGAAATTGTAGCTTTCTTGTGGGTGTTAGTTTCAGATTTTTACCTACACTGCATAAAACTTGAACACAGGTCATGGGATCATTTAGAGTCAAATGAATTTCATCCCTTTGGAGTGCTTTAATGTGTTTCATGTCAATATGTATAAACCTCTACTAAAAGAATCTTTTCCAATTTTTTAATTTTGGCACACCACAAGCTGTAGTAAAAGTTGGAGCCTGAGAGAAAAAATACTTTAAAATTACGTGACACTCCTCTATGTGGAGCACAGAGTGATGCCAGTCAGATTTTCATAGACAGGGGTTGAAAGTATTTGAGAATAACATGGCTTCATCCCAACTGAATCTTTGATCTTCACCATTTCAACAAAGTATTTATTCTAAGTACTTGTTATTTTTAAATGCTCTATTCAGATTTTATCTCTCTGAATTTAAAAAGCTGTCAAGGAGAAGTGGCTGTCAGCAATAAATTGAGAAGATGAAAATGGGAGGGGAAATGAATTGTAACTAGATTGTTGTTTGTCAGCTGAATAGATTTATGTATGCTAAGGTATAAGTTTTGGTCATGAAACCTGTAACTACACCACAGGACAGAATTTTCATTTGTATTTAAATCAAACAAGGGCATAGAAAAATAGAAAAATGTGATATAGTAATTATGTATGAACAACACAAAACATAAATACATTAATGCTTGGCCACTGGATGCCACTGTTGTCTCAAGTAGGGAAACTGAAAAAAATGTGTATTATGCTTTCTCACTAGTAATTTTTCAAATTATTACTAAGATGTCCCATTTACGTTATTTGTGTGATTTCTTCAGATACTTCACAGTCCTCTGAAGAAGTTAATGTAAAACGTTAGATCAAAAAATTAAACTACAATTTTTATTTTGTCTCCTAGTATGCCCAGAAGTTTCAAAACTTTTTAATGTTAGGTTTGGTACTTTGTCCATTCCTGTTTGTGTGAAAGATAGTTACCAATACTTCACTCCTCTATCCAATAAGCACCTGTTTTGAAGTGATGTTTGGTGTTCTGAAGCCTCATTTATCCGTTGTGTAGCTCTGAGTTAATTGCCTTTTCAGATATTCTTGTTGCTCAGAATTTTCCTTCTAGTTCTTCATAGGCCTACTCAGCATGTCCAAATATTTGATTACCTAGAGAATCGAAGTTCTCTACACTTCAGTTAACAAATAAAAGGTGTCTTTTAGATGCACTGAAGTGTTCTAAAGAAGCATCTTCCCATTTCCTTTATGAAGAGATCATTCACCTAGTTGAGGTGCTTTGATTTCTCACTGGGCCAACTATTTGCACCATACAGTTTATCGTTTGAGTATGACAAATGACTGTTCTGTTAGGGTGGTTCCTTCAATCTTCTGTGAATTAGGATTTAAAGATCAATTTTCCTCCAGTGGAGTACTTCTTGCTGTACTAATCTATGATTGGGGATAAGTAGTTGCAAGTAAAGAGAACAATGGATATTTACTTGTAATAGAAAGCAAAGTCTGTGCATCCTCTGCTATTCTTTGAAATCTTAATGAAATACTGAGTTCAAAGAAGCAGTGGATAGAACTAAAGCAGCAAAGGGTATCATGTCTCCTTTTACTGCCTTGATTTCATGAATGTAAGAGACAAATGGACAGATTAACTCTTCAGTAGGCAGTGCTATTGGAGGATTTTGTCACAATACACAGAAATTACACATAGAATTAGTATGAAAATATGCATATCAAATTGTAACTATTGCAATGGTTTCCATTTCAGTTGCATGCCTGATAATAATTCTGTGCATAAAAAAAATAATGTGCAAACAATACACTACAAACAGAGTACAAAAAACATGTTCATTTTGTGATAAACTTTGTAGGGATACAATATTGCATCCAGGTGAAGCATTCTGGGATTAAAGCCTGAGATGATCGCATCTTTACTGTTCAAACTATCATGCAGTGTCATGAGATTCAGTGCTAGCAAAGGCAAGTGCAAAGCTCACATTTTGGCTAAAATAAGCAAGATGTTGAGAGATTTTTATATCAGCTTAGTCTTTTCAAGTCATCAGTATTTAATAGGAATGTATTTTATTCTTAGCAGTTGTAAAGGAAAAGGAACTTAAAATATGGAGTTTTATTTGGAAAATACTGACTTCTCCCTAAACATTAAAGATCTCCATCAACATTAAAGATCTAAACTTATTAGAAAGGTGTTGTTCTTATTATTGCAATTAAAATAGCCATGTTTTGCAGCTTTGTGTTAGATGTCTATTACAGATGTCTTGGTTGTGTTGCATAGCACAGATATTTCTAGAGTTCTTTCCTTCATAATAGTATGATAAGATGTAATAAAGTTTGATTTTTCATTTATAGTTTAATTTATTTATTATGTTCTGCCCTATCACAGATAGCTGATAGAAAACAAACCAGACTAAAAGAAAATAGAAGTAAGACTTTATTTTGGTTTGTTTTTCATACTGCTACTAATCAGCTTTAACTATTCCTCTGTTCTTAGGAAAATCAATGTGAACTCTTCAGATCAGTTCCCAATTTAGGTCCTTAAATTTGAATTTACATTTCATAGCAGTTTTGCTGCGTCTGAAACAAATGTCCAGGGTATCAGAATTTTCCTCTAAAATTTTTCTGTGGGAGTGGTATTTGGTAATGGGACTTGAAAAGCAAGCTGATGCTTTTACTTAGAACTCAGAAGTGGTTCTGGACTGTAAAAGTAGTGAGGCAAAACTTTCAGTTGCATTAAGCATTAGTTTAGATACCAAGAACACTATGGAGGAGTTTACTAGTGAGAAGGTACTATTATGTTTTGTCAAGTACTGTGGAAAGTAACAGTCCACAGCCTTCAAAGTGTCTGTGCACACTGACGATGCTTCAAGTAATGGTTCAGTATGATTCTCTTATAGTACCGAATAGGAGATTGTATTCATGTCCCAGTGACAGTACTAAAACTGTTACCTAGAAGTCTTGTATTTTCTCATGTTCTGAATGCTTCCCCTTTTCCCAGTCTCCTGAATGGAGGAGATAATTACCCAAGTCTTAGGAAAGAAGCAAAAAGTTCAAACCTGTAGAAGTATAGACTGATCAAGGATCCAGCAGAGTGTGGCTGAGAATGGGGACTGGTGGAGAGCAGGGATAAGTAAGGGAAATTATGACCAATTAATGATTTGAGGAAAGAGTCTGTCTTTACATTCAGAAGTGATTATTTGAAATATGCTGCAGTTTCTTTGCACACAGGAAATATCCAAGTTAAAATTGAGTTAATCTGAACAAATGTATTTTTACTGAGTATCTCATTTAAGACATATTTAGAATTCACTTCCATAGTTCCACAGTTCTTGTATAGTTTGCAAAAATAGTACTTATAAATAGATGTGTATGTTGTTCTGGATTTATGTGTCAAATAAACAGATCAATGCTGTTATATGGCTCCCTTCATATTTCTGATATGAGACACTGATGAGTTGTCTATGAAATACTTTATAAGCTGTGCTTAGTACTATTATTTTTAATCTTTTAGGAGGCTTACCGGGAGGAGCAACTTATTTACAGACTAATGAGACAATCTCAGCAGGAGCGGAGGGTTGCTGTTCAACTCATGCATGTTCGACATGAAAAAGAGGTGTTAAGGCAAAATAGAATTTTCAGGGAAAAACAATATGAAGAAAGGCGACTGAAAGAGTTCCAGGAAGCTCTTGATAGAGAAGCGGTAAAAGATTATTTGCTCCCTGAATTGCTGTAGGACTGTTACAGTACCTTCCTGTTATGAAATGGAATTTGTATTGTCAACTGTTAGAATTTAGGACTTTTCTAGGGACTTTAATGATGAATATTGCTTTTATCTAGGTTCAAAGTTACAGCTGAAAGTCTAATTTTGATCTTTTCTTCCAAACTAATTTTAACTTTTTTTTAACATCTCTGTATGCTGAGATTAAAAGGCACAGTCTTGCAGAGGCAAAAGGACAAAAGACAATGACATAAAATCTTGTTTCATGAACAAAGTTTTTCACTTCCTTTAAATGTAGTCTGTTAACATCCATTTTTCACAACTGCTGGAGGAGTTTCACTCATGAGTGCTAATTTCTACCTGGGAGCTTGGAGTTGATTAATAAACTGAAAGAATTCATAATCCTGTGGCAAACTGCCAAGTGCTATGCCCATAGTAGGCCATAATGTGATAGGAGCAATTTTACTTTGCTCCTGCCAAAAAAAATTAGCAGCTCTGAATCTTCCAAGATGGCTGGAGTCCTATGTCATCAGCAGCTATAGCTATTGATTACAACTTCTCTTTCAGTATGCTTTTCTCCAAAAGGAACATACCATCACAGAAACTACTGATAATTTTCTGCCATAACCAGAGATCTTTCTCAAAAATCCAACAGCATCAATAATATAAAATTATTTGCAGATCAGAATCTTGTACATTAAATTACTTGTCACATAATCTACATGAACATCCATTGCAGGTTTCAGTGGAACTAAGCCTTTTCCAATGCATCTGCATAGTTGTTCCTCAGGGAGAGTAGACAGTATCATTTCACGTTTCCCTGCCTGCTAAGCACTGAATATGTTCTTAATCTGTTTTTCATGAAAGAAGTAATATATTTCTCCTTTATTTCATTATGTTTTAAGAGCTGGAAAACAAAAAACCTGGAACTTATAGAATTGGTAGAATTTTTTAGATTTCTGTATGTAATGATCTGCTTGCTGGCTATCTAACTCTGGTGAGAATCTAGTTGTTTTCACTTCTTGAGTTAAATGAGCAAGTTAATTTTTGTTTCCAGGACTGTGCACTTCTGCACTTCACAATCTCAAATTTTCTCTTTAAAAAAAAATTCTAGGCTCTGGCAAAACAAGAAAAAATTGATTATGAAGAACAAATTATCAAAGAAAGAGAACATCATGAGAAAATAGCTGTTGAAAGAGCTCAGGCTCGTTATAAAAAGCATTATTGTATATGTTGGGAAGTGATCGACCAAATCGTTGATTTGTCAACAAAAGTAGGAGAATATCATATACTGACAAACAAGTGAGTATGACAGTTGGTAGGCAAAACTAATACCTGTTATGTAGCTATTAGGCTTCATTATTCAGACTGGTTTAAGCACCAGAAACATCTTATATGGATTCTCAGAGACCTTACAGGACAGGTCCAATTTGTTTTGCATGCGAAAATGGTATTACTTTAGAGTGAGGATTCACTGATATGTAATACAGGATGAACTAACGCTAAAACCTTAGCAGAATTTCTTGAAAACTCAACTAACTTGAATCCTTAGGAGACCAAGATTCATTAGTCCTACCACTTGTGGAACTACTGACTTCCTCTTTTTAGAACAAATTCCTTAGTTTAAAAGTTAAAACCTGAGTGGTGCGCATCTCATTCTAGATTGCTCCACTAGCTGAACGCTTCCCTGGTGTAATATAAACAGAATGAATTTCCTAAGATATATCAACGCGCCTGGACTGTCCTAAAAGGAGCAACTCAGTCCAAAATCTTCCAAGCCTTACATACTATGATTCCCTATTCTGACATACTTTAACTGCACAGGATTTCCAAGAAGGTCCTAAAAAGGCAGCAACTTCCAAGTGCCTGTGCTGTAGGAGTATTTCCAAAACACAGAGTGGGGTGTTGCTCTTGTTCTTTCAATAGTATTCAGTGATTAGACTATAGGGTAAGGCTTACAGCATTAGAAAGTACACCAAAATCTTCATTGCCATCTACTGTGATTGTGTATTAAAATAATAAAGCTGCAACTATATGAAATACATATTTTATGGAAATTATATAAATTTAGACCCAGCAGGTACTTGGTAAAATGTCAGCCTAGACATAGTTTAGTGATGATTTGATGATTTCCTTGTCTGACACAGTCATGGTTCCAGTGTAAGCTAGTGTCACATTTGCTTTTACTGAATGATGCATAATAATATGTACAGATATCTGAAATCTTTCCCAAATATGCATATCAAGGTTGTATCTGCATTGATTGCCACCACAGGTATGTTTTGTCTGTGTTTCTGTGCATTTCATTGCATTGAATGAAAACTGAATTGCAACTCAATTCATTGAATGCATTGCATTCCATATGCAGGATGCATATGATGTGTATTCAATTATTTTTTAACAGCTGTGGTGGGTTGACCCTGACTGAGGGCC